TCTTCAATATGAAAGCAAATTTGCAAATTCTTGTCAAAAAAAAGGGCCAAAAAATGCTGACCTTGATTCAGCGCTGAGAGCAGATAAAAGAGGGACGACGCCGGATATTTCCATCAAAATCTGATTAAAATGAAGCACAAAGAACAAAACAAAGCAACAAATAAAATACTAAAAACAGGGAAATCAGAGACACCAAACAGAAAACGAACAATATGCACAAACGTCCTCAAACTGAGGCCAGAAAAACCGGTTAAAAACAGCACCGAGCCACGATTTAGGCTGCGTCTGATGTATGGACCGCTCGGTTGTAACGCCAAACTCCAAGGGCTTCATTAAAAGGAGCTTCCACACAAATGTATTTTAATATATGCACACCTCAGACGAATGTTAAGCGCGTTGAATAAATTCCCTCCTTCTTGATAAGCTAATGTATGAATGGACTGCGTGTGAGCGTCCCACTGTGGGTGTTGTGAGACAGCGATCCGATGGTTCTGTTCAGAGACGCCGAAAAACACGGAGACAGATCAAAGCGCTGCTCCGGCTTCAGTTCAGTAACCTCGGCAATTCTGCGTTCCTCCGGAGCAGCCGGAGGAGACGTGGGACGGCATGTTTACAAGAAGAACGAGACGGATGTGTGTCCATGTGCACCTTCACCAACACTTTGACCTACATGGTGTCGTGGAGATCAGATGTCACGGAGCTGCTTCTGAGCAAACATCTGTATAGAGTCTGTTTGATCACCTCTCACATGAGTAAAAGTAATGAGAACATGTGTTAAAACGCTGTTAGTATCGTGTTGATGTTTAGGCTTCTGTGAAAGAACACATCTGGATGAATTCTCCTCAGACACAAGCTTGTGATAAAGTGCTGCTATATCACCACCTAGTGGCGAAACTCTGCCACCACCAGCAGCAGCAGAAGAAGGATTTACTTCTACAATTCTACAATTTCATTTAGTCGTAGTCGTTTAGTAGCAGAAGAAGGATTCAGATTATTCTCTTAATCAAACTAACGATATACAGAGGTGGGAAGTAACGAAGTACAAATACTTCAAAATATACAAGAAGAATAAAAAGAAACACGATCAGTTGTCTATAATAAAAACTTTATCAAATTAGCTACAAAAATCACAGTCCTGTACAAATACTTCTTTACTGTACTTCAGTATATGTTGCAGGTATCCGTACTTTACTTGAGTATTAATTCTTCTGACGACTTTTTACTTTTACTTCCTACATCTGAACACAAACATCTGGACTTTCTACTCCTTACAGTCTCAAAACTGGCTCGTTCCTTGTTTCAACCTCCGCGGATGACGACGTAAAAGACGTAACAACAAACGTCTTCATCTTTCCCAGCGGTGTGTGATTTGTCACTGAAGCTCAACACAACCCTGCCTGCCTCAGATGCCTGCCAGAGGCTTTTTATCACTGCAGGACTGATTTTCAGACCTAAAAGGGCAAAACGTTGAGAACCAGCTTCTGCTGAGGCTCAATTAAAGATGTTGGTAGTCTTGAAGGATGAGTGTTTCCATGTTGATTATAATGTTCATCATGTTGCTGAAAAGGAAAACTGTCCAGTGATGTGTTTCTCTGTAGCAGCACTGTGCAGCTTCTTAAAGGATGAAAACAATCCTGTTTGTGTGCTTAAAACTTTATTAGTCATCAAAAGAGGCATCATGTATCATCAAAACTAAAAACTCATTTTTACTTTTGTACTTAAGTAAATTTCTAACCCTGTATTTTTTTACTTTTACTTGACTAAAGAAGTTGAATCAGGATTTCTACTTTTACCAGAGCCTTTTTTTTACCAAGTATCTCTACGTCTATTTAAGTAAAGAATGTGAGTACTTTTGCCATCTCTGAGCAATATAAACTACTCTACTACACAGAAAAGTCCTACGATAGTAAAAGAGAAAACATGTTAGCAGTCAAATGTAGTTAAAGTATTAAAGTAAAAGCATTGGTTTGCTCTCTGGTTGCTAAATGATTTCATATCACATCAGATCATTGATTTATTGATTTATTGATTGTGTCTTTGGTAACCATTAGGAGCCTTTCTAACAGTTCTGCACATGTAGATGGGACGCCACCACTTCCTGAGGGAGCTGGACAGACAGCGTTTAGGAAAAAATACTGCATTTCAAAATGTAAATTTATTCCTGTGGGGGTTGTTTTTTATATTTTTTAAGCGTTTACCTCATTGGCATGTTTTCTCTTCCTTCTTCTCTCGCCTTTGAGGATGACCTCATGAGCACTTATATTGTTTTATGACAGACCCTCCCTCTCCTGTCCTCCCATAACATAGTCTGGTGATAAACCAGCGGCCCAGCCCTTGACCTCCTGACCCACCATGACGCTGGCCCGGCCCTCGGTACCTTTGAGGAGCCACACTGTATGGGTGGAGGTTGTCCTTCTCCTGCATTGTCACAACTCATCCTCTGACCCTGACCCTTATCCCAACCTCATCCCCAGTCAGCTGGAACAGGCTTCCAACTCCCCCGTGACCCTACAGCGGATTAGGCGCTGTATAGATAATAGATGGATGGATAAAGCTCCATCTCCTATGGCTCACCTCCATCTGGGCCTCAGAATACCCCTGATACCTCTGCAGCATGTTTTATTAATTATGGTCATTTTCCACTAACATCTGTCGTCCTACACGTTCCAACGTATTACATCCTTGCCTCTGTGTTTCTCTGCAGAGTTCATTACAACCTCCACCCGTTCAATCCGTACCGCCATCCTACCTTAACACCACCGAATCCTTTATCCGACCTTCCTCCAACTCCGAAGACTGTCCGGTCTATTTGCTCAAACGAAGCCAATCCAATGCCCCCTATGTGCTTGAAACTATCCATCCATCCATTATCTACACACCTTAATCCTCACTAGGGTCACAGGGGGCTGGAGTCTATCCCAGCTGACTCAGGATGAAGGCAGGTTCACATGGACAGGTAACCAGTCTATCACAGGGCTACACTTAGAGACAGACAACCAAGCACACTCACATTCACACCTACGGACAATTTAGAATCACCAATTAACCTCAACATGTTTTTGGACTGTGGGAGGAAGCTGGAGAACCCGGAGAGAACCCACGCTGCACGGGGAGAACATGGAGACTCCACGCAGAAAGATCCTGGGTGTCCTCGGCGACCTTCTAGTGAGGCAACAGTGCTAACCACTGAACCACCTTGCAGCGGCATTTAAATCGCCTAAAAAATATCCTTGTTTTACAGATATTTGTCAATGTTTAGGTTTTTTTTTTACAGTTTTCCACCATTTCTGCCAGATTTTTCCTTTTTTTTGTACTTCATTTCCTTCATTACCGACTGATCATCACCATTTACTGAGGCTGGAAATAATGTTTAGCAAAAACACTCGAGCTAAATAATAAACCATCTAAAGGATTCATTCACCCAAATGCAAGACGAACCTTTCTTGTAAATACAATCATTTATTGAGGCACTTGACACAAGCCATGGAATGTACAAATCAAATACAACAAGTTTAAGGTATTTTTCACATTCTTGCATCTGTAAACATGGTAAAGAGAATACATTCTGACAGTTAGTTCATGTCGTAGCGTCTCCCCACCCCCCAACGAGGAGACGAAACACCTCGCTCAGGGTAGTGGTCGGTACACAACAGCTACACACAGTGTACAAAACAGCAGTGGCGCCAAATACAAAACCATCAGCCAGGTTCCCCCCCTCCTTAACTCCACCAACTCCTCCTGCATGGAGAGCATTCGGCTGATAGGAGCGGAGCTGCAAAAATAGTCAACAAGCCGTTCGTGTGCTCTCGTTTCCCCTGAATCTGTTCAGTGGGTTCACATAGTGTGTGCAAGAGGTAAGTGAAGTGAGGATGAGGCATCTAAGTCTATTTGGCAGCACAAGAACACTTCTCTACTTCAATAAATATGTAAATACAATATCTGTCCTCATGTACACGAGCAGACCAGCTTTGGCTCGTCGCTCTCTGGGATGTAAACATGTTGGCGTTTTAACTGCTTTTGATTGTGCACCTTGGCAAAAATAGTTGGTGCATTTCTGTCCAGGTAAAAGTCAGCGTCCATGCCTGCCTTGAAGAAACCAAATCAGTAACAGCAGAATGTGTCAGGTGTGTGGCGGTGAATAAGGCCGCCGTCCGTCGCCGCTGCAGCTCACTAGCGGATTCACGGTGAGGTTTGAATGTGAGAAGCTACAGCTCAAGTCACTCAAAGCACTTGAACTTTCGTGCACCCCGCCGTCCTCTTGTGGAGTGGCCCCTGTCAAAACCCAACCTCTCCGGCCCAACCGCTGGGCTCAGCTGGTGCTCGCGTCGGTAAGGATTTGTGATCATAAGGCTGCAGTTGGAGGAACATTCCACCAATAACCTACGTTTTGAGCGTCAAACATTCTCGGTGTGTTGGCGTGAAAAGGTCCGGACTTGTGTGTTTAGTGTGTTTCTGGGAATCTGGGGGTTTTAATGACTTGAGTAGGAGTTTACATTCTAAAATTACATTCAAATTACTCATGGTGGGCTTTTAAACACACTCTAGGCCATCATCGGCATGCAGAATTGAAAGAAAACCCCATTGAACAGTTAAATTAATAAATAAAATGCTTGCATTCCTTTGAGAGGAGGAGCTGCACTGGAAGAATTAGGACTCATGACCCCAGTGTTTCTACAATCCTGGGTTGCTGCCCTGTGTAGGAGCGCGTAACAGCTGTAAACAGCTGTGGATAAACACTGCGTATTGAGCCATATTTTGGATAAACTGTTTTGGAAATCTTGAGCGTGCAGAGCAGAGGAGGATTATGCTGCAACAGATGTGACACTTGGACCTTTTAAGCCAACAGTCAGTCAGGTGTCTGATACTCAAAACCTTTCCCTTAAGGACACAACGAGTTGATAAATCCCAGATTGAGTGCTTTGTGTGTGTCCTTAAGTTGTTTGTGTTCTATATTGTGGCCTGGTCCCATTGTTTCATACTTGGACTGTGGATCCAGACTGTTAGCCCGTCCCGTTGTGTGGCGTGAGGCTCTCCCAGGGACAGATGATCTCTTTGGCTCCTACTCCTCCCCGAGAGGCAGCCCTGCTCTCCTCGTCCTCGTCCTCGGACTCTATGGGATAGATGCGGCACTCTGGGGGGATATCCACTTTAATCTGGAAAAAACTGACAAGCGCAGCAGAAAGGACCTGATAAGACACTCAGCAGGCTTCAAGACATGAGATAGTGACGATATTTGTTATTTGTTAGCTTTCTACTCTGATCTTTCGTATTTGAATATAAAAATACATCAATTTTATAGGAAGTGTGGCCCCTTTTAAAGCTGCTTCAGTTTTAGGCTAAAATTGCTCGAGCCACTGACATCAGCTTGGTATTTTGGTGGACTTCATTTATGCTCATCTACAAACACGCCATCCCCACTGTGAAGCACGGTGGTGGCAGCATCATGACGTGAAGATTCTTATCTTACAGACAGCATCAAGTTGCCCTCCAGAGTTTGTCCACACTTTGCTGCATTCGTTTCACCCTCTGGATTACAAGCCTTCTAGGGCTGCTGCTGCTGAGAAGCATCATGATGCTGCCACCTCCATGCTTTACTATAGGCTTGTTGTGTTTGTGATGAGCTGCAGTGTCTGGTGTCCACCGAACACGCTGTTCATCAAGTGGCCAAAAGGTGCATGAGGATATGCTGATGCCTTTTCTGTGACTCTTCTGAGGAGCCAGTTCATAGAAAAATTGATGAATTATAAATGTGGTGCTGCCTACTGGCCAAACCAAGCATGGACGGTGTAGGGAAGAAAGCCACAAGAAGCCAGTGGCAGCATCACTGTTGTCGCTGTTTATTGTACTTTTGTAGAGTTCTTGGTGTTTTCAGTCAAACATCTGGATGGGGTTTACAGATGTGTTTGGGTTGCCTGACTTTTGGTAGCTTGCCAAAATGCATAAACTCTGCAATACGGGGAGTGAACAACCGAACAGCTGATTAAACCGTGAATGGAACATGAGTCGGAACTCATTTGTTTTTGATGGCTCCCTCCACAAATTCACTCACTACAGCTGTGATGTCAGTGAAATCAGTGAGGGTTCAGGCCTCATGGTGGAGGCTGAGACCGGACCTTTGTCTCCCACTTACTTGCCAATCCTTCTGGGCGGAGCCTGACTGGGTTCGTCCGGGCTGATTGGCTGAATTCGGCTACTTGTCCCGGCAGCTGAGTGACATTTGGGCGACAGGCTGGCGAACATGGTGGACGGGGTGCAGCCGCGCTTCAGCAGGCGACGCAGGGAAAGAGCCACGCGAGACTTGGACACGCTCCCTCTGGCGGGGCCTCGGGCCTCGTGGTTCCCCTCGGCTCCCCCCTCGCTGGCTTCCCCTCGCCGCTCGGAGGCCGAGTTGCTGTCTAAGGCCACGCTGATGGGGGACGGGCAGGCCGGGGTGTGGGCCAGGAAGGGGAGAGAGGGCGAGGCTGTGGCGGAGGGGGAGTCGGTGATGCCAGAGTAGACGGCCAGGTGAGGGACTGGAGTGGTGAAGCGGCACAGCTGTGAGGTCAGAGGGCATGAAACACAGTCAGAGGGCATCCATGGACAGAGTCACTCCAGCAATAGGTTCCCTGCACACAAAACTATTCTGTTAATGGACTTAACGAGAGATTAAATAAACCTCATTATAGCAGCATGTGACAGAAATATGGATGTGGATTTGTGCAACCACGGAAAATGAATATTGTGGGTCATCATAAAGCTGCCACAAAAGCTCATCGTCTGCTCAAAGGTAAATAAAAGCCGTGTTTACTTGTGATATTAAAATGTTCTGTAGGGCAACCGAGTAGCAGCTCAGAGGAAACAACACCGTGTTAAAGAAGCTGGACAGCAAAGAGGCGACCTGAAGGCCTCATGAATGAGAATTTGCCAAAACTATGAAGCTTTTCCCTGTTTCCTCCTTTAACGGGGCATCTAAAGTTCAATAAAGTGAACTCATATGTGGTGATGTGACACTAAAGTTGATGCATATGATGCGTTTCTTTACTCTACATAAAACAAATATCCACTTAAAGTTAAACTAAACATTTATAGTCACACAAACCAATACGAACAAACCACAGGAAAATACATGACCAGGTGTTATAATGCATTTTAAAGACCAATAGATGCTCTAATGGCAAGATATGTTCTAGATTTCAACTATCGTCTTTTTAAATGAACGATTAATCATTTAATTCACAAGGTGTAAGATCACGTGTTCACAAGAGCAGCAAATGCTCACATTTAGGAAACTGAAAGCGTCCGATATTTTGCATTTTTGGTTGAAAGGTAGCTTTAAAAATTAATCAAGTAACAAAAGTGTGATTTATTTCCCATCCGTTAGTAGGGAGTTCGTAAGAATGGCGGATGTTTTGAAAGAAAGAAAGAAAGAAAAAAAGAAAGAAAGAAAGAAAAAGAGCATTGTGTATAGTGATGATCGGTGAATAAATGACAACATAAGACAAACACAACAACATGAGGTGGTTTCGTTTTATTCGCTCATGAGTGATGACAAAGAAAACAGAGAACTACAGAACACTGAATGAGCCGAGACGGACACAACAACACATGTGATATGAGAAACAAATGACAGACGGTTACAGCTCGTATGGACAGAAATGAACCAGATGAGGACAAACTGCATGGATCAGACTCGTGTGTGGACGTGTGATTAAAGGCTCAGCTCGCCCAAATCACAGACAGAGATAAGCATCACTGAGACGCCAGATATTCAGTTTAGTTTCTAGCAAAATAACCATAAAGTGTCTGTGATCTCAAAACCAAAACTGTGTTGCATAACTAGACGCCACAAGTGGGAAATTTGCGATATTTTTGCAACTTACTGTCTAATATATGAGTTTTTCTTTACATTTTTAACACTTCTAACGCTACAGCTAAATTCCACGTGTATGTTCACTATTGCACGTGCCCGTTCCTAAACACTTTCCATTTTTAAGGTACATTTCTTGCACTTTCTGCAGCACTAATAAAGGATTAGGTTTTAGTCTGCATTTAGAGGCAGAAACAACCACTAGTTCAGAGTTTTTGGAAAATATTGATTGTAGCAGCTTTAAATTTACACTAAAGAATAAATATTAGGAAATAAACTACACCAAAATGTTTAACAACAAAAGTGAGCTAATCCTAATCCTGGCTGGTACATGACTGAACATCAGGTTGTTATTTGGAGGGCCGACGGGGAGGCACCTCCTTGCCCTCCTTGCCCTGCTGGCTCAGTTTGCTCATGACCTGCGTGATGTCGACGGGGGCGCTGGCGGCCATCTTGGCTCTCTGCTCCTCCTCCTGCTGCCGGAGGATGATGGGGCTGAGACTGGGCCGTCGGTTCCTCGCGTTCTGCTCCAACTGGGCGTCACTGAGACGACAGAACACAAAGAGGAAGGACGGAGAAGAATTAAGAGAGAGTCGCAGGGGAAATGGAAAAGGGAGGAAAGAACCAGGAGGGAAAGACAAGGTGGAATTTAAAACCAGTATTGTGATGGATGTGGTTGTTTCGGTCTGAGAGATGAGAAACTTCGTCAATCTTTGCTTTGACTAAAACACTTTCTTTTCCTCATTTATCATAGTGTGCTTTACCAGATAAGCTCATCCAATTTAGACTGACATTGTCAAGTTTTTCCCAGTTTTACCAGTTGAAAAGAGTTCAACTGCCAAAAAAGTGCCATTAATTAAATGCAAAAGCCGCCTCTTACGTGAACTTGTGCTCCTCTGGAGCGATGGCCTTCTTCATCGTGTCCTTGAACACTGGAGACTTGATGTAGCGGCCGTACTTGTCCTGCAAAACATGTAAAACCTCATTATGAATCCATTTCTCACTTCAGTTAGTTTTGTGTCTCTTTTCTCAGATAAATTAACAGAGAAGTTATTCCAATCAGAGCGAGACATTTAACAACAGAGTTCTCCAGTGATTGAAGCCCCCTCCTGGTGCGTTCACTGACCTTCTTCATGAGCATGTAGATGTGAGTCTGGGCTGCGTCCAGCACGTATCTGTGCGGGTGTCTCAGGCCGCTCACTGTGATCTCCATCGTCTTTCCATCGATGTTGATCCACCGCGGAGCACCGCGAGCCAGGAAGGTCCTGGGGTTAAAATAATGGGATTAACAAAGAGGAGACGCTTAAACATTGAACTGAAGTCACTCAGAAAATGTTTAGTCTGTCCTTAGTTTAGAGCAAAACATCGACACGGCTGAAAACTGTCCAGGGCAGCCAACAGTCGTGTTCATGATGCAGATACTTTTGTCTTTAAGGTCTGAAGCATGATATGTTTTTAAAATCTGATACTAAAATAATTGTGCATCACAATCAGTGTTGTTGGTAATTAATGAAATATTCCAGACTGTGTTTATTAAAAAAGACAATCCTATTAGCATTTATTCTAAGGAGAATAATTCATTATTTATGCTTCATTCACTTACAAACAACATAATGTAAACAAACTTCATTTAAGAGGTTAAAATCCTGGATGATATTATTTTATATAAATATAATATTTGGAATTTATGATCAAGGCTGATGTTGGTTCAAAAAAATAGTGGAAAATAACATTAAGATCTAACACTTTCATGGCACTATTTTTGATGCAGGCGTTTTTGCCCTTAAGAACCTTTTGTATGATTTTTTAAAGTGACGTCTGAGGGTTGAAAAAATTTGGGAAAAATGTCTGGTTTTGTCTGACCAACATGTAATTTACAGTCAAAGTGATATAAAGCAGTAAATCCTCAAAGCTGAGAAATTGCAGCATTGGATGTTTGTTTGTTTTTTTATTATAATTATATTTAAACCAGTTTGCTGATTGCTTTTCTGTTTCTCTATTACTCTATGTTCACCCTCCACTGCTGTCAATATTCATCAGAAAAAACAAATATTTAGTGTAAAGAGAAGAAATGAACGCATTACTTGTAGATCTGCTGAGCTTTCTCTTTCATCGTGGCAGCAGCGCCCCACTTCAGGTCCTCACAACTTTCCCAGAATGCCAAGTTCTCACCTAAGTGGGGTCAGAATCAAAGAGGAAACAATGCAGAAGAAAACACAGTCACTGCACCGTTCTCAGGCTCTTCTGGTGGCTAAAAAATTAACTTACAGGGCAGCACGTTTGCAACAATAACGCATTAGTGGTGCTAAATCTAACTAAATCTTACTGCTGAATTCTTTCTTCAGGAAGAGCCTAAAACCATCTCGTCCTATGGGGTCTGAGAGCAGCTCTCCGAAGCTGAACGTCCACCTCTCCACTCGCATCTTAGTCGGGACGTCCACACTATTAAAACCAGGAAGAAAATCGTCAAAATCAGCGAGATATTTGAAGCGCCGTCCGCTCACGACGTGCACAACGCTCCGCTGACTCACTAGAGCCTGTTCAGGGACCACAACGTGACGTCGTCGGTGAGCCAGGGGTTGCTGGGAAGACACTTGGAGAGGAAAGGGTCGTGGCTGTTGTAGGTGGTGCAGTATTTCACCAGTCTGCAAGGAAGAGGAAGAAAGAATTCACCGTCTGTGATATCTGGAGTCTCTTCATTAAAAGCAGCCACAGGTGGTTTATAAAAGTTCCCTCCAGTGTGTGAGCTAACTGGCATCATGTCATCTCCCATGAATGAACCAATGATGCACCAGTGATGAGACTAAACACTGGATGATCGTCTCTGGTTTTTATTTGTAAGTAAAATTGGCAGAAAATGTAAATGAGTGCAGTAAATTTGTGGACTTTTGTGTGTCTATTGGACATCCCTGAGTTAAAAATGTCTCCTGTGACTTCTAGCAATCCTCCATCAGCCGGTGGAGATACTCATACTCATTATATTTTGGTATGATTCTAAGAAAATGTAAAAGAGTTTAGTGAATCTGTGGAAACCCGGGCCACATTCCTGATTAAAGCTGTCCCCTGTGGTGGACTTTTATAGCCTCCATGTGGGAAGATGGCTTTTTACAGCTGGCTGGGGAGCAGCTCCAGACCCCACCTGGCCGTCATCTGGGCTGATTAGACCTGCTTTCCAGCCCTCGTCCTTCTCCCCGCCTGATTGGGCCACCACCCAGTTCCCTCCTCCAATCAAACTGCAGCAATCAGCACACCTGGGCTTTAAACCTGCAGCTCAGCACACAGTCTGGTTGGCTTTAAGGTCTGAGTTACTTATAGCTGCTGAGAAATGGTCACCAGTAGCTTGTATGGGTTTTGGGGCACTTATTTGTTTCGCTTATTCTTTTCATTTGCATCCGTTTGTTATTTTCTTTTCTTACCCGGGGTGTTGCTACCTCGTCTTTTAGTTTGTCTGAAAAGTTTAGCTGTTATCTTGACTTTGCTAGTTTCTGCAGTTTGTTTGCTTTGACTTGGTTCTTTGATTGAGCAGCACCCCACAGCCCTGTTGTTTTCTTTGCAGTGTTATCACCTTTCTTCTTTGTTAATTATGTCATAAAGCAATAAATGGCTTCACTGAACCACCTGCTTTTATGAGTCGGGGTGCAACAGGAAGATTTGAATGTGGCAGATGTACGATTTTAGTAAAATTATGGAAATTCACATATAAATCAAGAAATACTGCTCATCCCTGAGTCGACATGTTCAATGCATTTGTAGTGAATCCAGATCATTCCACAAACTAACATTATTCGGTTCTATGTTTTCGAAAACAACACTTACTGACCATTGTAGAGCTTTAGTGACGCCACATTTGCTTTCTTACTCTAACTACATTCCTGATTGAATATAATTTTTAATCAAATCTCTTGTGCAGGACTTCTACCAGTCCTACGTTTGCACATCATACGGTGGAGATAAACCGAAACCGACGTGTGTGTTTATGCTACTTTCAGACATTCGCTTCATGATGCAGCCAGTCTGAGGTTTGTCACAGATACGAGGCGACGTCTTACGCTCCGATGGACACGGACGACTTCACTCTGGGCCTCATGATGGACTGCTGCGTGAAGATCATCTGCAGGGAAGCAGAGGAGACGCGACAGCCAGAACAATGTGCAGCTGTCAGTCGATGAATGAAACCACATAATAGAAGTCAAAGGAGGAGCGAACTGCAGAAAAAGAAAAAGCTCACTTACGATTCTCTCGTAGAAGTCGGGCGTTTTTGTCTGTGAAAACATATATATGTATACATTAATACAGATTACACACCACATCACATCATTATATATAAAAATACATGTAAACGTGAGTGTGTGTGTGCACGTATGAGCTTTTATCTTTTGGGGATTATTTTTTCAAAACAGAGTCTGAACTCTCTGAACTGAAAACCGACGAGCAGATTTGAAGGACGTGTTATCTTTTTCACAATCAGAAGCCATAAAGAAACCGAATGAATCATCTCCTTTTCAACTTTCCAGTGGTCCTGAAGCTACTCGTGGATCAAATCTAAGCTTAAAATTGTGACTGTTCCACAAAAAAATCAAACCTTATTCTGCATGTCTCATTTTTTTTTTAAAATGCCAAAAATAAACTGTTTGCAAATATCCATCCATCCATCATCTATGCACCTCCCCCACTAGGGTCATGGGGGGCTGGAGTCTATCCCAGCTGACTCAGGGTGAAGGCAGGTTCACCTGGACAGGTAACCAGTCTATCACAGGGCTACACTTAGAGACAGACAACCAAGCACACTCACATTCACACCTACGGACAATTTACAATCACCAATTAACCTCAACATGTTTCTGGACTGTGGGAGGAAGCCGGAGAACCCGGAGAGAACCCACGCTGCACGGGGAGAACATGGAGACTCCACACAGAAAGATCCCGGGTGTCCTCACTGGGATTCAAACCGGCGGTGCTAACCACCGAGTCACCTTGCAGCTCCTTGCAAAATCCAGATTTAGTAAAAAATATTATTTATTTCTGCAATCTATGATGCAACTGAGAAGCCATTCGTGACACCACTGGGACCAACAGGTTGAACTGCTGGCCATGTTTACACAAAACAGAAAATAGGCAAGTGTGGAAACTACCTAAATACATAAGTAGTTAAATATCTATAGAGTGTAGAGTCATGTCCACAGTATCAATAACATCTGGAGGCAGCAAGAAAATGTTGTGCAAGTTGATTTCAGTTCTTTCCCCAATTTTTATAAAATAAATAAATCAGGATTTTTTTTTTAATTTTTTTTTTTTAAGGATTTAAGGTTTCATTATGAGTTCTCTCTACTTCTATCCCCGCTTGTGCTGTTTCCATGGAGATGCAGGACTTTAATATTTATGTGATAAATAAGCCAACAGTGAGCAAAAATGTGACAAAACATCTCAGAACCTGCTTGGAGTTCAGAGGGTTAAAAAAAAGTACCAGTTCAACACAGATTTCCTTTAACTTTTCTGCACTTATGATGGAACAACATTTTTAAAAAATGATGCAGAAAAAACTAAAGTTATTGTCTTTTATATTTCCTGCACTCCTCTTCTTTGGCAAATCATTACTTGTTCTTGCAGCAGAACTAACGAGGCAGCAGACACTATGGAGGTCTGATAAGAAACGTGTCAGGTACAAACATGAAGGTGTGTGTATTTGTGTGTGTGTGTGTGTGTGTGTTGGGGTTTATAACCAATTTAAAAGTCTGGATACAAAAGCAGAGTCATGGGGAATGCCTGCAGGAGAGAAGAGAAGAAGGAGAGATTAATGTTAACAGAAGAAACCGCAGACGTGAAACAGAGAGAGAGAAAGCAGGTATCTGCATCCATGCATTAAAGCCTCTTATTGAATATAAGCTGATTGAGAGGAATTATGTTCATACGGGTCACGCAGGGCCTCACCTGTTACCTCGTCTGCGTTGGGATCTATCCGTCGCTCCAGCCCGTAGTCCATGCCGCTCACCGTCCCCGGCTGCAAACCCACCGACAAAAACCACACATTACACAACGCGTGTTTACCAAAGGGCTAATTAATTAAAGCAGAGGGCTGTTTTATAATGCTAATCATCGGCTGATGATGTGCAGCACTTCTCTGGGCCATGAGAGCGGCCAGCAATGAGCAAAACGCACTCGTGGACGTCATGCATCATTATTGTTTCCATCAGAGGCTTTAAATATGTGTTCACTTGAAACCACACTCACATGAATAAATCTGTAACTGAAACACAAAGCTGGCTTTAAATGTGGTTAGTGAGTCTTAAACGGGCAAAAAAGTGTGATTTAGATCAAGATTTTACTTCAGATGCTGCGTAAAGATTAATATTCAAGCTTCCAATAGGTGAAGATAAAATCATCGCATTCAGAAACAACCACGATAGTGCAAAAACAGTCTGACAAAAGAGTTTCAGGGTCTTTTTGTCGCTCATCGCTGCTGCAGGTTCAGAAACCCTCTTAATGAAACAACATTTGTCATTCTGGAGGGAAAATTAATGGAAATGTTCCTACTTGAGATAAATGTGAACAATTTTTGAGGACAAAAATGGAAAACTAACAATGTGACGTGTGAAAATCATCTTCTTTTTCATCATCACCTTGTTACCATACATCCATGTGATGCTTTTTATATGTTAGAAGATACATTATGAGCAAAATAAGGCCCATGTGTCTCATAAACAATTATTCCGATTTCTGGGGTTGCGTACATGATAAATCTAAGGAATCGATCCTGAATCAGTGGCTGAAATAATCCAATGTTACAACTTCCTACAGTGTGGATGAGCGGGACTCAAAAATGCACCTACGGCATCCGTAACGGTCACTAATTAGCCGTCTGTAAGCTGCTTCTTTAACCAGGACACACACTGATGCTTCTTCTAGTATTTACTCGATATTTCGGCACAAAACGGCAAAATCTACCCTTTGAAACTTAAATTCATTAGCGTTGAGAAGCGCTCCTGTTTAATTAAACACACTCAGCTTTGCTTTAATTCTTCTGGGAGCTCATGACGGCAGATGCAGCAAACTTCAGACAGAAGTTGCTGAACTATTGTCCGGTCATGACTCTGCTGTGGCATTATGCTCCAGTATTGACTATTATACTGGAGTTGTTTCCCACTGAAGGGAACTTTTTGCCAGCAGCTGTCAAACAAAAGTCTCATTAAGCAGCAACACACACACACGCCTACAACCATAGGAAACTAACCAACAGGCAACACAAGAAGAGATCTGCAGTCAGGTTTTCTGGGCATCAATCAGTTTCTGGGAATATGCATTAAGGTGAAATCGATTTGATGCAATCTGCAAAATCACAAAGGCTGCAATTTAGGAAATATGTAGCAGCTGATTTGATAAATTTACGCTTTTGATGCTATCTTTCAATATATTAAATGGTGGATATTGAACCTAAGCTTGACTTTAAACTAAACAAATCAAAAACCAAGTCGCAACATCTGTCTGAAAAACACTCATGATTAGATATTTTCCCTGAATCGTTCAAATCCTGACTGTCTGGACCTCAAGAATATGCAATAAAGCATTAAAGTGTGGATAATATACCAATTAGTGCCTAATCAAATTACTATAAACCAGTTAACACATAAACTCAGGGGTCTGTCATTAATCTGTCGTCCCTGTCGGTCGCTCTGTAATCCGGCTTCACAACACGACGCCGTGGATGAGCGTGGACGTGCAAACCGCTGCACCGCGTTCTCCTATGCAGCGTGAAATATTAATCACCGGTGCCCTTTTCCTCCGACTGGACATGCAATGGTAATGAGGCATCATGGGTAGAGATAATGAGATACCCTGGGAAGTATTGAGGTGGCACGCAATTTATTTTCAGACTTCTGTGTCTGCTGGCAGTCCACTTACATCTACATGAAGCCGCATCCTGTGTTCACAGCGCAGCGGCTGATGACTATCTGAGTGTGAGAGCGCTCGAGTTGCTCGTGTTGTGGGGACGTGAGTCTGTTTGCAGAGTCACATTGTGCGACGCCGACTCCCTTCTAGGGGCAAAGAGATGCTCCTCAATCGATCCTCAATCATTACATTTTAAAATTAAGACTCAGTTTAAGGTTAGGTTGAAGTTAGGAGAAATTAAAGCTAATAAATCAAGTTTATTTACACGTTTGAAGTAACCTGAGGTGACCCAAAGTGCAGGCAGCGACAAAAAGTGCAAAAAGAAATCCATTTGTAAAAGAGAGAGCAAATGTAGACACAGAATTGTCTCCTTTTCAGCTTCTCAATAACACAAATAAGCTTAAAATCGTTATATTTTACAAAAATCACTTTGTTCTAAGTGTCTGATTTTCAAAAATTACAAAAATGAATCATTTGTAAAAACAAGATTCGTTAAAAGACAAAAAATTCTGCATTTCTTGGTGCAACTAAGAAGTCACTGATGACACCACAGCGACCAACAGTCATGTCACAAAAAATCAGAAACTTTTTTAGCTGGACTGGGTTGAACTTATTCAACCGATACGAGGTGCGTCAGAAAAGTTCCAGGACTGGTGTCACAAAAGATATATTTCAAACCCAAACTACAAACTACGAGTTTTCCCCTTCAGATGATCAACCAGCACGTCTACAAAGAGATCCTGCAGCGTTTGCTTCGTCCAGAAGAGGCAGAGTTGTGTCAGGACCAGTGGTGGCTGCTTCACCATGACAACGCCCTGAGCATCCCACAGTTCCTGGTTGAGAAGAACATCTCCGTGCTGGAGCAACCTCCCTACTCACCCCACCTGGCTCCATGGGATTGTTTCCTCTTCCCCAAGCTCAAGGGGGTCATCAAGGGGACCCGTTTAGAAGACAACATCAAGATGGCTGGACAACGGAGCTGCAGAGGATCCTGGAGGAATCCTTCCAGGAGTGCATGGTGGCGCTGAGAGAAGGCTGGGGAGGTGTGTTAGACTCCAGGGGGATTACTACGAAGGGGAAAACTGGTAGTCTGGATTTGAAATCTATCTTTTGTGACACCAGTCCTGGAACTTTTCTGACACACCTCGTACATATTAAACAGATTTTTTTTTCACATACTCAGTGTTTTTGTGCAGATAAGACAGAAGTTGTACATAAACCACCTTCTCCAGAACCTCAGACAGGAACAGAAGCTTGGATTTGGGAAGTTATTGAAGCTGTATTTCTGTATGTTTGGCTGGGTTACTGCATTGGGGTTAGTCAAGGAAGCAGCTTTGGTGTGAGTGCGTTCTCACCGGAGGTCTGTGAACCACCCAGTAGGCTCTCTCCTGGCACTCGAACACAACGCGGTCCGGCTTCTTCCTCTCCTTGGCGGCTCTGAAATCGCACAACAAATCGTAACGCCTGCTCGACCTTGAAGCTGAGCGACGCCCCCCTGAGCTTCTCGCACACCTACCTGTACTGTTCTTTAGCTTGCATCACGATGAAATCCCATTTATGATTCATCCACTTGTGAAGACGGTTGTACTGCTCCTGAGGACAGAAAATAACACCTCGGTAAATGCCAGCAGAGGAAAATGCATTACTCCTGGGCCTCTCGGTCTCATTCTCACCTGCTCGTGCAGCTCCAGGATTCCTTTCTTGCGTATGTTTCTTTTCGCCAAGTAGATCGCTTCAGCGGCGAAACAGACAGGAGTGTTAACTGATTGTAGGGAACGGGATTAAAAACAAAAAGCATGTGGCAGGCTGCAGTCACACTCACCGTAATCTGTGTCCTCCACAGGCCACTGCTGTGTGGGCCAGAAATACGGCGTCTGAGAACAACAAATGGCATCACAAGCGTTGTTGTGGGTTGGATTTGTTTGCTGCAGACCTCATGACGCCTGAATGAGTTTCTTTTACTGTGGCTCAGGAAACCAAAACCAAGACCAATTTGTGGTTTTCCACGAGAAAATAAAACAGTAAGCAGATTGTTTTCCTCTTGCTTCTGCCTTTTATGTAGTTTTTAATAGTAAACTCTGAATTTATTTGCACGTTAGATCAGTTGTAAAAAAAAAAATATTGTAGTTTTTATCCAGTCGACCGGCCAAACATTCCCTTTCTTATGTGATAATTTGCTGGTTTTCTCGGTTTCCTGCCACCAGAATAAGAAGAAGACGGATACTTTAGGTACTGAGAAATGTCACATAACAAAAACAGGAATCAGAAATTCTTCACAGATTAGAAGATAGTAAAGATAACTATCTGTTGCAGGCTTAATTATCTTTTTAGAAGTTAGTGTGTGCTTATGCAAAGAGAGGCAGCATTGAGCCGGCTTTCTAAAAATCATAAAAAGCTAATATAATTAAATCTATAGAGCATACCTAAAAAAAAACAGCCATCTTGACTTGCATGCATTTTTTAAAAACCACCGATCTTTTAGCTTTGATTGAAGAAAAAGCAGAGAAACTTTGGCCCATAATAAGAATGGATTGAGATTTAAATGTGCTGAAATAAAATCAGAATTGTCTTTAATATAATCAATTCTAAAAAATAGAAAACTCATTTAGATTTTTGAGGAAGACTGCTTCAGTTGCAGTGTGTTACAGGACGTCCACGGCTTAATTTAAAGGTGACATGTGGTGTTCGTTTTGCAAACAAACAAAAGCTAGACTACAAGCCAGAACGCAGTGTGTGAACCCTTGAGATTTACTGACATGTGTTGAATGCGTTTGCTTCCACTGAATATTTTCAGCTTGTTTACTTGCAGGTTTTTCCTTCACTGCCTTTGTTGGAACATGTTTTTCTTTTTGCCACATCAAGTCAAACAACTGATCGTGTATCACATCGCCTGTGTGTGTTCCTGCACAAGCATCCCTCACAAACAAACCGTGGAGCCGCTCATGAGAACAAAACAACAGCGTAACCACAGGGCACCTTTTAAATCAGCCACAACAAACACGGGAGCGCTCCATCCAAACTGTTATGACCTGCAAATGACATCACCTCGGCTGTGTTTTGGGTGGAAAGCGTACCCTGAGGTTAAGAAATGTGTTGTGTTTACCTGGAAGCGATACAGGGACGCATCAGGTTTGATCACTAAGCGTTTGTGGTCTTGTAGCGGGTAGATGTATCCCAGCGCCACCAGCATCGAGCCAAAACTCCTCGCCTCTAAAGAACAACAGACGGAGAGACGAGCAGGAATTCAACAGCCGCTGCATTTCTGTTGGTACTCGCTGCAAAAGGAGGCTTCATGGCCACTTTATACTGATTATCTAACGTGATAACATCTGAAAAAACAGGTTTTATTCTAACAAAGAAGGCACCTACAGCTGATGTTCTGTGTACATTTGGACAGCCGCCTCATCTCTCACCTTGTGGGTCTACTTGGAATCTGTCGGCGAGCCACGCAATTATGTCTTCACCTGAGGAGAAAGAAGCCAAGGTCTGAAGTAAAGAACTCGCAGAGATATGCAGCAGCTGTTAAAAAGGCAGCAAACAACTTTAACTGAAGGCTGTTTGTGTGTCGACAGGTAGGCGGGTGTGTGGCGGTAAATGCCAAACAGCTGATGTGGGGAGAGGAGCGGGAGGAGGAGGATGAAGGCAGGGGGTCTGTGGGGGAAAGGGAAGGAAAGGACAAAGGAAAGGAAAGGACAAAGGAAAGGAAAGGACAAAGGAAGCAAGGAAAGAGATAACAGAAATAAACAAAAGGAAGAAATAAAGAAGAAAAAAGGAAAAGACAGAGGAAGC